AGATATGCTAGATGCTAGCCACCATTAAATTGCTCTCAAGTCCCCACATTTTCTATAAAATACTCAGCCCTTTTACAAAAGAATAGAAACGTCCATTAAATTTAATTAAGCACAACAGAGTAACTTTTTAAAATAAACAGTGGGAGGAGGAGTCTGTAGATGGAATATATTAACTCCAAAATGATTCTAGTATTTTCTCAGAGATATCCAGGCAGTGAAAGTTGAGAAGCTACCTGGCTTGAGGAGATGAAGGACTTCGACAATCTTGTGTATATAGTTACATGACAGTCAAAAAACTGTCATTTCACTCTCTTGGGAGGAAGTTTGGGATAGAAAGAGGAGATAACTACCTGAATATACACATTTTGCATACAAAATACACATTTTGTATTTGTTATTAGTAGCCTGGAACCACAGCATGACTGTGCTGATGTGCCACAAAATTCCATCGCTCTGTAACTTTATTTCCATTTCACACTGTTTTCTGGAGTTCTAAACCTGTTTCCTGGATTTCTTCAAACACTTAAAAACGCAATTGGTGAATACAACTCATCATAAATACCTCACATGTTTACTTACATTGCTAGTGAGGCACTGAATGCACTCTGTTCTAGATTATTTTTAAAGGATACTTATATAGCAAACACCCTTGGAAGACAGAGTTAATGTCTCTTATCAGAGCAAAAGGCAGGGATATTTCTGCCCTTCATAAGAGAACTGGGGTCCATGACAATAGGGTTTCCCTGTTGTGACATAAATCATGGCATACCAGATGCAAGAAAACAGAGGGAAAAGTTCTATAACCTGGCTTTTGCTGTTCCTGGAGTAATAAATGGTTCCAGGAGTCCGGTGAAACTGTATGTGGCAACTTCACTAATTTGGTTTAACTTGCATGTTGTGTGGAACTTCTGACCCTTCACAGTAATTGGGATTCATCTGCCCCTTCTCTCCTCTCCCTTCTCCTATTTCCCTTAGTGTGATTGCTCACACAACCATCCATATGAGTTCTAAAGTTAGAAATTTGGGTGCCTTCTCACACAGCTTCCCTTCCCTCACTCCATTCCTGCTCATCCAACCCACTGCTAGATATATCTTTTAAATACTTAAGAAGGTGGTAAATGGGGAATTTGGTGAAAATCTCTCATTTTTTTCCTTCCTTATTGCCTCCCAAATTCAGGCTCTCGCCACCTCTTATGAGAACTATGGAATCGTCTTTTTAGCTATCTTTTTCACAAAGTAGACAGACTGATTTCTAGGTCTGAATAAAGCAGAATATTTTACAGTCAGGAAACCTTCAAGTACAATAACCTCCCAATTCAGCCATACTCAGGTCAATTGACATAGTTTTTTTGTGAAATGCAAATCCGATGAGCCTCTCCCCCAGGTCTAAAGTTTTCAAGACAAATGGTAAATCTTAAAGCCTTTGCTAAGGAAAGATGACCCTTTCTGAGCTAACTTTGCCTCTGTTCATATTCTCATTTCTTTGTTTCTTATGCTTCATCTAACCTCAGCTTAAACCCTGACTGCTGGGACTGTGACAAGAAACAAGCACAATCTACATTCTTCCCATCAAAAGTCAAGCCTACGGTGAAAGCCTTTGTGCAAACTCATTCTGAGTCTTTGCTAGCACGTGTGAAAAATGATATTACTGCAGAGGGGGAAAATGCTTTCTCTCTTTAAACTGGCTCTGACCCCCAAACTGGGCCAAATCATCAAATTTCTAAGACGTCAGAATGTATGAGGACATCTTGTTTGAAAGGACTGATACAGAGAATTTTGACCTACTTTTACTTTGAGATCGCTTGTGACTTGACATCTCACTTATTCTCCATCACCTCATTCTCCTTTTCCCCTCCCCATAAGCACAGGCACACACACTCCCTTGTTTTGGGTTTTCTAACTCCAAACCTGTGCTGCTCACAGGGTTTCTAACCCAGGGACTCAATTTGGATGCCGGGAAAACTCACCTTTAAAATCTCTGACCTCCAACTGAAATTGAGCATATCTACTGTATAGAGGTGAGTAGGAAGAGAGTGCCTGTGTCTTGTCTTCCAGAAAAATCACAGGCATCTTCATGTCACAATGCAGTTGGTGCAAACATCTCACACTTAAACCATTTCAGAATCACAGTAGTCGCAAGACAAATCTTGAGGTTTAACATGTAATGCATTAATGAAGGTACATATATGACAATATTGCAAGTTATTTAAGTTTGATAACTTTGGTAGGGTGTAGTTTTCTTTGTAGTTAAGTATTGTTTGCCATGTTTTTTTTTTTTTCTTTTTCTAAAATAACTTTTCCTCAGGTCAACTTTGGCAATTTATATTTTTGGGAGGATTTTATTCATTTCACTTATTCATTTGCCATCATCAAATGATGGGCAATTATTTTTCCATGACACTGTTAGTTTTTATTTCTTACTTTTTTCCCAATTGTGTTGCATTGCAACGTTCACATAACAAATATTCTCGGGGTGACGACTCTATACCTTCATAGATGCACATATAATTTTGAGAAGGGCTCCCTGGGCTGAAATTCTTCGTGGGCCAGAGGGCTCCCGGGTACCTAAAGGGTTAAGCAACTGCACAGCCAGGCGACTCCCGGGCTGGCAAGCCCCTCTGCCAGCAAGTCTCTAAGGGGAGGCTGGAGGGTAGAGCTGCTACCAGAGCTAGGTGCGAGCTAGGTGCGCAAGGGGTCCGAGGAGCTCTGTGGGAAGAGCATTTGAGGTTGAGGGCGCGATCCCGAGCCCAACCCGTCGGGAGACACGGAGAAGCGCGACCGCCTAGGCGTGTGTGAGTGGCTGAGCGCGGAGTGGGGTGGGGATGGGGCCGAGGGGTCTTGGCCATTTGCATGACCCTGTATGGAAGCCATTGGAGGGTTTTGGGGAGCAGTGAGGGCTATTTACCAGGATCTCTGTGACTTCTGTCCAGGCAGAGCTGAACAGAGAGGGACGAGCACAGATACTAGTTGGACCAATGCCTCAATTTTGATTTTCAAAAACTGCATCTGCCAGACTGTTTCACGTCAGGTGCCCACATTTTCAAAAGTTATAAACCAGATGTTAGTATAGGCAGATAGGAATGAGAGCCACAGGCATCGGAAAAGTGGACAAGGTGATTTCAAGGTTGATTTATGGCTTCGGCTCATTTCAGGAGTATTTTTGCCCTCCACCTTCCTCCCCCCATCAGATAGCATCTCTAAGCACAGTAAACAAGGGAGTCCAGAGAAACCACAGCAGCTTTCAGAAATCCTTCTCAACATTAATAAACGTCAGTAAAAACTGAGGTCGTTTTAGAGAAACAATATCCTTTCTAATTTTATCTTGCTCGTGACATACTAAAATTTTAAAACTCACATGGCCAATTTCCCCCTGCAATTTGCTGCCTTTCATTATTATCCTTTATTGGAAATTGTAGCTGTTTAGCTTGCAGAATATGGTTGTAACTTGCAGTTGATTGTTACCTAATCGTATTTCAGGAATTCTTGAATTTACTCAGACACACCAGAATATGTTTTTGAATGGATTACATTCAAGGTTTTATACCAGTGACTTTTTCCATGAGGATACTTCTAGGTCTTGGAGTTATAGATCTGGGTTCTATATCATCTCACTATATAGTCTCAGTGCAAATGATCTGTTTGTTCAGTTTCACTAAATGTAAACTGAAAATGGTAATATTCACTCTAGTCACAGAAATAAAACTATTCATGTAAATCATTGGGCAGACAGTGTTTGACAAACAAAAAAACATCTTCTTATATATTGTAAAAATATCAATGTAATTTGTTTGGCTATGCAAATTAGGCATTATTTGATTCAAATAATATGCAGAACATCTACTATGTATCATGTTCTCTTAGCATCTTTGCAAATATTATTGCTCTTACCAGCAATCTTTTTCTCACTCTTTGTCTGACCAATTCCCATTTCTTTTTATTTTTCTGTTTCGGTGTCAAATGCCCCAAGCAGTCATCCAAACATCCCTTCACACTCTGGCATCAGGCTTAGCGTGTCCTGCAATGTCATCACAACAAGAACAAACCACTGTGCAGTGGCTTTCTGTCTACTGCACTTGCTGAATCCAAAGTCAGTCTTGATCTTTGACCCTGAGATGTTGTTTGGCAAAGAGAAAGCACAGATGAACTTTTTAATTAAAATATGGAATGCTTCACAATTTTGTGCATCATCCTTGTGCTGGGGCCATGCCAATTTCCTCTGTATCATTCCAATTTCAGTATATGTGTTGCTGGTGCAAACACTGAAAGTTTATTTACTGGATAAAATGGGGTGATATCAGTTGAGCAAAGGAGATAAATGATTTCCAGCAATTCAGTTGTGAGAACCTAAATGGTCCTCCTCCAACTCTCCCCAGCTCCTCTCACCCTTACCTTAGAGCCTATCGCCTACGTATCTCTCTCTCTCTCTCACATACACACACGCTTGAGTAGAAAGGATCATCAACATGACACATTTCCACCTCACCTCTTTGCATTGGCTGTTCCCTCTGCAGGAGTGCCTTCCCCATATATTCACATCTCTCATCCTCTACATCACTAGATGCTCTTCTCACGTCTCTCACCAGAGATCTTCCCTCGGCCCTATTTAAGTAGCACCCACTCTTGATACTTGTTCAACTTGTTCACTTAGGGTCTCGTCACATTATAAGCTTTATAGAATACAAGCCTGGTGAAAGTGGAGGCTTTTGTTCATTACTGTATGCCCAGCACTTGGGCAGTACCTAGCATTATAAAGAGAAAACAAGTATAAGAAGAAACTGAAGAAACAAAGCAGGTTGGTGTACACAAGATACTTGGCTGTGTTTATACAAAGCCCAGGAATATATACAGATATGGGAATTAAAAGAGAGTTTAACAGGTTTGCTGGAAACAGAAATCAACCTTAACTAAATAAAAAAAATGTAATAACTAAAAATATAAAGTTTCATCAAAAAGTATGATAGCCTGAGGAAATAATAACAAAAGGCAATATTTATGGAGAAAATTATAAAACTTTATTGAAAGACATTTAAAAAGCCTAAATAAATGGAGAGCTATACTGTGTTCATGGACTGGAGGCCTTACTACTGTAATTAATCTAGAAATTCAATATAAATCCAATAGAAATTCCAACTTGTTTTTTGTTTGACTTAGAATTTGACAGTGTGATTCTAGAAGCTGTTCTTCCGAACAGATGCCTAAGAGCAGCCCAGATGCTTCCCAGGAAGAAAAATTTGGTGGTGGTGTCAGAAGTGGAGGTGGGATTTATCTTGGGGCATCAAGACCTTTTTCTGAAGTTGTAGCACTCAGGGTTTTAAAGTAATGCCATGTGTAAAACAGATTAACCATTGTGTCAAAACAGACACATGTACACAAACTTGGTTTTTGAAATAGTCATTGTTACAAATCAGTGGGGAAGGAAACTCCAGAAAATGGTGCTGGGACAATCACTTACCCAGAAGGAAAAAAATATCAAACCTATTATCTCACACTTTTCACAAAAATCATTTCAGGGAAGACAAAAGACAAACATGAAAAGCAAAACTATAGAACTTTTACAAGGCATAAAGAGTATCTCTAGGACTTTGGATAGGAAAGGGTTTCTCTCACCACCAAGCCAACTTATATCCAGTTTTACTTTTCAGAAGCAGTGACTTCCAACAGGACCACAGTGACCACCCTTAACATTTTACAACTTCCAAACTCTGCTCCCTCAAAAATCAACAAAGTCTCCTGCTGCAGTTGCTGTGAACAGGAAACGTTTTCAGCAGGAGTGGGTATTTTGCATGGATGTAAGAGCTGCTCCTAGGTCAGCTCTGATGTGGAGGAAATGAACGAAAAACGGCAGGATCTTAGTGGGCTGATTCACAAACTACAAACAGGAACCTTGGCTCTTTTGAGCAACGCTATCTCGAAGTCACCACTGGCAAGCCCAAGGACACATAGATGCTTTAGGGACGCCAATGCCACATAATGGCCCTTGGTTTCAGGAAGTCAAGTCTATGTTGATGGCGTTGGGAAAGAGAAGACATGAAATTTGCGTCACCACACTAGAAAGCTTCTGAGCCAAAGGGGCTGACGTGTGACGGTCACAGACTCTCTCCTGGGAACCAAGAGCAAGCGATGACAACCATGTAAAATCCTGTTTCCCCCCCATTTCAGTCCAGTCTCTGAGACATTCCATGAGTGGTATTTGCCCTTTCCACAAAAGACCACAACAAAGTGTTCTGTGTGCTAACAACATAACTTAAAAAAAATCTACAATTTTATAAAACTCGATTAAAAAAAAAATAGTATTTCAAACCGCAGAGTCACTAGCAGCACGGAGCTATCCAAACGCCACTTCACTTGGCGTCTCCCGCGCCTTCTGCCTTCTGGGACTGGGCCGCGGCGGCATCTCTGTTTTTGGCAGGGTTGTTCGCATCCTTGCCGCTCTCTGTCTTCCCCTTCTTCCCTTTGGGCGCTTTCTCCCCTTTCTTTGCCGGGGCCTTCTTAGGCCTGGGCTCGGGCTTGGGAGGAGCAGGTTTGGCTGACAAACGAGCCGACCTCCTCTGAGGCTCGTCCTTCGCCTTGGCTTTGTCGCCCTTGGCGTCCCCTTTGGCCTTCCTCTTAGGCATGGCGGCGGTGACGGCAGGCGCTGTGCGAGGCCAGAGGGCGCTTCTGTCTTCCTCGCGCTGCAACCGGAGAGATTTCCTTAATAAGATACAGAAAGTGGGGCATCCGTCAAGGGGAAAGGACTGACTGATATGACTACATTAAATTTCAACCTGACCACATTAAAATTAAAAACCTAGGTATAGCAAACAGCATGAAGAGGGAAGAAGAGAAGTTATAAGCTCGGCAAAGGTATTCATAATAACATCAACTGGCAAATGATTACACTAGCATTTACAGAGAGAATTACTACAGATCTAAGAGAGCACATTTAAACATTTCTTTCTTTAAAAAGATTTATTTATTTATGCATACAAGAGCTAGGCTGTAGGCCAGAGGTGTGTGTAGTGTGGTGGGGGGAGAGGATTCCCCAGAGACAGAGTGGGGTGCAGATGAGGCAGGTGTACTGAGGGGAGCAAGCAGCTCGTGAGCAGGAGAGGTCTGCTGCACCATGTGGGTCAGTTCCCTGGCCGTGGGGTCAAACTGACTAAACAGCTCAGGGGCTAGGCAGATGTGGAACAACTGGCACATTTCTACACTGCTGGATGTGTACAGAACTGTATTCACTTCGGAAAACAATGGGGCACTGTCTGAAGAAATTTTAGGTGTTTATCTAGAGGAGCTCCTGAGTGTGTGATAGGAGGCCCCCCCCCCCACGAATGTTTATAACAACTCTGGAATTTGCAGACAACTGGGAACTACCTAGAGTCCTTTACTAGCAGTGTAAATGCTTTGTGGAAGCATGCAGGGGAATCCCATTCAGCAGCAAAAGTGAACAGATTACAACTACATACAAAAAAAAAAACCAAAACAAACCCAAAAACAAAAAACACATGGCTGAATCTCAAGAACATACCATTTTTTTTTTTTTAAAGATTTATTTATTTGTACATACAGAACTGGGGTACAGGCCAGAGGTGCAGGGGCGGAGAGAGGCTTCACCAGCGACAGAGTGGGGAGCAGAACAGGCAGATCGATGAAGTACACTGCTGAGGGGAGCAGCGGGCGGGTCAGGAGAGGTCTGCCACACCATGTGGTCACCTCCGGGGCAGGCGGGGATCGAACTCATGCTGAAGTGGCTTTAGATTCTCAGTGCTGTGCTTTAACCCACTGCGCCACCAGGGAGGGCCACTTTTTTTTTTTTTTTTAAAAAGCAAAGGAGTAATGTCAAAATCAGGACAGCAGTCCCCACTGGAGGGGGCCCCACCTTCGGGCTGAGGTGGGACTCGGGTGAGCCCAGATATAAGGGGCCAGGGTGGTGATCTGTTCCTTAATCTGGGGAGAGGCGAGGCTGATGCATATTATTCTCTATATTTTACAAAGAGAAATTTTACACAATTGCTCAGGAAATAATAAAAACTACTTTTGAAAGGTGGGCAGCTCAGAGCATAGATTCAGAATAGAAAATGATTTCAGTCTGGGTAATTTGACCTGGGCCAGCATGCCAAAGCACTGTGTGACTTTTTAAAAGCTTTTAGCCAAGACAGAGTTATTCACACTTTCTGCCCCACCCTTGAGAAGTTTGCCTCAGGTATTCTGTAACCCCATACCCGACACACTTTTATATTTTAGGGAAAAAATGATAGAAATTGTCCCAGATTTTGGGCTGTAATTTTACCCCGTCTCCTGGACCTCACCTTCTAGTTGTAGAAGGTAAACATGGTCATAAATCAAACCTAGATTAGATTTTTATATTCCTTGACTAATAAAAGAAACCACCTGCAAATGGTGCTAAAACATCAAGTTATTTTTAATGTCCATTTTTCTCCCCATTTCTTCAGTGTGAACAGAATTGCTGGGAACTTTGCAATCCTTCCTTCCTCTTTTCCTGCTGTGGAACAGAGGGAGAAATGAGACTTAGCATAAAAAAGAGAGAAGAACAAAAACTTGGGAGTGTGCCTGGTCAGCTACTACTTCCCTTGGGGAAGACTTATAGGATGCTGGGAGCAAATTGGACAGGATGTAAGGTTCCTTCGCAAGCTGAGCAGCAATTCCCTGGAAAGCTAAGGTGAGATTCTCTGGAACCTTCTCGTCTCTCCATGGCTGTCCCCTTGCCACTACATATTCTGAATTCCCGAGTGGCCAAAGAGTCTCTCTTGCCACCAAGACTCACTGCAGTTCTGCTGGTTCAGCTCAATCTACCTGCTCCCTGGAAGACATCCTTCCCTAGATTATATTCATGCTTCATCTGAGTTTCAGCTTCCTCTCCCAAACGCACCATTAAAAGAATGTTTGGACAATTCTTAGAGAGAAAAAGGTGTTTCTTTTAAAATTCGTATTAGAATATAATAAAGACAAAGAAATTAAAAAAAAAAAAGAATTGAGGAAGATGTCAGAGATCACTTAGGTCAAGGCTCGGGATGGGAATCGTATGTCCAGAAAGGAACAGGCAGGAGAAAGACAGCTGTTCTAAGAAAGGAGCCAATGTTGAGGGAGATTTTATGACACAAAAATCACTTGTTCTAATATCAAGGGAACTTGGTTTATGCTTGTTGCCCTAGGATAATTATCAATAATCCTCCCTTTCACTCTCAGAAATGAGCTAACTTGGACAACTGAAAAGCTCACCGCAATCCTCTGCCCATATTCCCGGAGGCCTTTTTGTTATCAGAGAGTAAGAGAAGAAACCAAAGGGCTGTTGTTCTAGCTCTCACTTTCCTAGAGAATGGACATTCCTCACAGTTCCTTCTCCATCTCATCCCCAAGCTGTTTTTAGCCCAGCGCTGGTGTAGGAATGCTCTCAGTCTGTTTCCTGCTCAGGCTTCTGCACCTTCGATCCCTTCAGTTCACACTAAGCATGTGGACTCAATGAGGCAAAGAAAGGTTGAGGAGGGGGAATTATCACCTCCCAGGGGGTTAACTTGGAAATTACTTGAGATGGAGTACGGGGGAGCTTTTAGGGTGATGGAACTATTCTGTACGCTACAGAGATGCCGGGCATATGGCATTAACATTGGAAAAACTTACAAAACTGCACACAAAGAATGAACATGCAAACTCTGGTCCTTAGTTATTAATAACGCATAAATATTGGTTCACCCACTGTAACAAATATACCACACCAAGGAAAACTGTTAGTAGGAGAAACTCAAGCAGGGGGAAAGGAAGTCTATGGAAACTCCCTATGCTTCTACCCGATTTTTCTTAAGCCAAAAACTGCTCTAAAAAAAATGGTCTACTAGTGTTAAAAAAAAACAATGTTTTCAGATTAAAGAAATAATTATTAGGTAATAACATATACATCTAGTATGCTAAGTATTTCATTATGTGGCAAAACTCATTAAGTGGCAAACATTTTAAGTCATTTTATATGTTTTGGGAGTACAGAGATTGGACTTCAGATGCTATCACCAGGACAAGAAATTATCAAGGCAAATACTGAAGTTATTTCCCCAGATGTAGCAATCTCTGAAGTTTAAGGAATCTAACAATTCCTCCTTGTTAAAATAAAACTTCTAAGGACAAAATTACATTAACAGAGACCAGAACAAGTTAGTGGAACCTTTGAATCACTCTTCTTCATGTTACAAAAAAACCTGGACTGAAATTCTTGTAAAAGCTCTCCATTTAACCAGACTCTTATTTCAAAATATGTAAAGGTAGCCCTCCTTAAGCCGCTCCAGGGGAGGGAACATCTGCTCTACGTTCTCCTTAAAATCCCCTTGTTAACTATGAAGACTTGTGGGCTTTTTTTTTTTGGAAAAGATGCGAAGTTTAAATTAACTGGCAGAAATTAAAATAGATTTTTTAAAAAGGAAGGTTAAAAGCGAAATTAAAAGCAGTTAATACATTCTCTTTGCAGAAACATGTAAATGATGAATATTATGAGAAGAGGCTGGTGTATGAAAATTCCCTGAGGTCCACTTCTGGGAATTCCCCAAACTGTCGACAATGATGGACATTAATACATTCATGACTGTCCTTAGAAATATGGGCCGCATTTTTTTCTCCCTTTCCTACCAAATTCACAGGTTGAAGTCCTAGTCTCTAGTACATAGAACTGTGAATGCTGAAGATGTAAAAAGGTAATTAGAGAAGACAGGTCACACGGGTGGGGCCTAGTCCACTTAACTGTTTTCCTCAGGACTCTGACAGCAGTCAGACTACAGAGGACCTTATGAGCCTACAACGAGGTGACTGCAAGGCAAGGGGAGAAGCCTCTGAAGACACCACATCTTGGACTTCCCGGCTCCAGAATTGTGACAAAATAAACTTCTGTGGCTTAAGACATGCAACCTGTGGGTTTGTCATGGCAGCTCTAGCAAACTCATACAGAAGGGAAGAGTGTAGAAGCCTGAGTGACCTGTGATGCATCTTGGATTAGTCATGTTTCACCCAGTTGTCAACATCTTTTTTTCCATTTTCCATCTTACCCTCTCTCACGTAAGTCTGTCTGCCGTGCCCAGGGACCAAGCCCCACTGTGTCTAGTATGCACATCCACCCACCACTCCAACACAAGACCCGCGCTCATGCATCCCCAGAGGCTGAAGAAGTCTTCCCTCTAACTCCGCTCTTAGGGCAAAATAATGTGTGCAGGTAGAAGGGAAGTCCTTGGTTACTAACAACCAAGCTTAGGAAGGAGGATAAAGAACACAAGAAATAACCGGCAGACTCATGTATGTCTCCAAGGACTATTCTCTACCTTCCAAAAGAAATATCACTCAGGGAAGCAAAGCTTCCCTTTGGGGGAAGAGAGGGAGGCCGGAGGAGGGAGAAGCAGTAAGGGAAGGTGAGACAGGGCAGTGTCTAGAAGGATCGGGCTGTGGCTGCAGGGCCTCAGAAGCCATCTGAAGCCCTTTGGCTGCCATGACCAGGGGCTGCTCCGACCCAGAAAGTAAAGGCCAATCCTGGAAAGTCCTCCAAGGCCCCTTGGGCCCTTGCCCCTCCTCCAGGGCACCATATCTGTTCGCTTGCTGGCATCTGAGTGGTGGAGAGGGGGTTACATTATTTATTTAGAAAACGGGGATTTTTCTTTTTCCTTCTCGAAAACTGATGTAACTGGCTCATGACACTGTTTTAGGAGAGCAGGTCACGCTTCTTCCAATGTACCTTAGCACACCAAGCCCATCACCAAAGTACTAACATATGAGTAACTCCCCATCATAGACCCCTGGACTCCTTCTAGCCTTCGCTCTCCTCTCTTGTTCTGATTTTAAAAGAGAATGTCTTAGACAAGTTGCTACGTCGCACGTGCCCAAGCTAATACTCTGCTAAGAGGGAATCACAGGTCTT